TCCACAGGACAAATGACTTGGTTTCTGAACAAACAAATTACAAAGAAAAGTAAGAGATAAAGAAGGAACCCATGAATTAAAAGAAACTTTAACAAATTAATATGTGAATACACCTTCTTTGCCCAATTCAAATAAAATAAATCAGTTTTTAAAACATAGGCGAATTAGGGGCTGCAGTTGTGGCTCAGCGATAGAGTGCTTGCCTAGCATGTGTGAGGCCCTGAGTTTGATCCTCAGCACCACATTAAAAAATAAAAAAGGTATTGTGTCCAACTACAACTAAAAAATAAACATTTTTTAAAAAACATAGGCAAATTAGTAAAATATGAACTTGGACTGAATGATTGGTGATATTAAGAAATTATTTTGGATACCAGCCTGACGATGATATTACAAGTATGTTTAGAAATGGGAGTTCTTGACTTATAGAGGCTCTTGAATATTTATATATGAAATGATATATAGTACCTGAATTTTGCTTTCAAAAGAATCTGGGAGGGATAGCAGCAAGGAATGAGATGGATTTTGGGTATAGATAAATCAGTATTGATGCTGTGTTGATAATTATTGAAGCAACCTAACAAATACATGGGATATTATTATTTTATACTCTTGTATGAAATAAAACATTGTTTGTTTGTGTTTTTAAAAAACAGATTTTGGAGTTAGGCTTCCTAGGTTCAAAATCCAGATCTGTCACAAATCTGTATAACCCTACAGAGTTACTTAGTCTCTCAGTGTATTAGTGCCTTTGTAAAGTGGAAATCATATAATAATACCTAAATAATAGGGTTTTTTAGGGGGAAATAAATGTTAATAAGTAGAAAGCAATCATAGGTGTTAGCTGTTATCATATATTAAATATACAAACTGAAATGATAAAATCACAGTGGTTAAAGATTTTAGTGTACTTAGGAATAGCGTAGAGAAGCTTATTGTACTTACTTAGTACAAGAGCAAACTGAAACCCATGGTCTTTAAATCTCTGTGTAGTACAATCCCTGTTTAGAGGCAGAACTCAATTCTAGGTTTCCTGACTACTAGTCATTAGAAATGTCTTACAGTAAATTTTTACTGAAAAATAAATATGTAAGAGTCAAAAGACAAAATTTAAATAAATTTAGTTAAATGATCCCATTACCTTTTATTAATGATTTATGAATCACGCAGCATCTCATTTAAAGAATAGATAAATGCTACACTGGGCATGGTAGAAAAATCGGTTTTTATAAAGTAGCTTGAGCAGAAACAAGGAAAAAGCATAATACAAAGAGCATATTGTTTAACACCAAGTTACTACATGTTACTTTTCTTGTAAGGGTTAAAGCAGAGGAGGTTTCCTTATCATGCAAGCTAAAATTGGCACATGTAATTATTTGGCTATTATCTGTCTCTTCCAATTTCTCAAAAAGTCAGATAGACAAACTAGTGTCCGTTTGATGTTATAGAACCTTAGCATGAGTGAATCCATTTTGGTTTGGTCTGTTGGGTCCTAATGCGGGGACTCAGGACAAATCAGTAGCCTCTATGAAGTTTCTTTAACACAAGATTATTTAACATAACTTTAATTATTAAAGAGGAAGACTCAGGATTGCAAATATTTATTTTTCTTACAATTTATTGCCATTTGAATGAAAACTCCAGATTGTTCTTTTTTATGTTTGCTTTGAGAAGGAACAGTGAAAACCTAAGCTGCATCTAAATTTATTGGAAGGGGGCTAAATAAACATGTTAGGGAATTTTTGAGGAAGTAAAGGAATAAAAGTAGAGTATTTGTTCTACCAAATAGTAAAACATTTTGCATAGTTACAGTAACTTTATGGTTCTAGTATTAGAATAGACAGATGAGTGAAACCAGCTAGTATCAGAAATAAACCCCTTTAGCACATAGGCTTTTATTATTAACTTTTAAATCATTTGCTCTTAGTGGGGACTACTAAGCTTTCCATTTAGAAAAACACAGGTGGATTAGATTATTTCATAGAAATACTGAAAGAAAATGTTATATAGAAGCAAGGAAATCTTTTTGGAGTTAAAAAAGAATAATGAAATATAGATACCAAAATGAAAAAACATATTATAAATTTTACCACATAAAATTTTAAAACTTTGGTAGAGTAATATATGCCTTAAATTATAGATAAAAGAGAAAACTGAGAAGAAATATTGATGGCATATAGACAAGGGGGTTCTAGTAGTTCACCTTATTAGTCAGGATCCAGTCAAGGGCCAGAAATCATACCAGGCATTTTAAAAGGGAAAATTTAATACAAAAGAATTATTTATTTTTGTGTGTGTATATTTTTTTAAGTTGTAAATGGACATGCTACCTTTATTTTATTTATTTTATCTTTATGTGGTGCTGAGGATCGAACCCAGGGCCGGACACGTGCTAAACAAGCACTTTGCCACTGCCCTACAACCCCAGCCCTACAAAGAATTATTAATGAGTAAAATGTTTACTAAAATGAATAAAACTCTGAAGAATAAAAACATAGTAAATGTAAACATTAGCTACTACTATCTCTTGAGCTGAGGGAGAGAATCCAAAAAGAAACAAAATGGATGGGACTTGGGTTGTAGCTCAGTGGTTGAGCCCTTGCCTAGGGTGCAGGAGGCACCTGCACCTCAGCACCACATTAATAAACAAACAAACAAATTAATTAAAAATATATACATTAAAATATATATTAAACATTTTATATATAGTATACATATTTAAAAAAAAGGAAAGAAACAAAATGGAAGATAGCTCTCCTCCAAGCCTGCCATTCAGACCTTGTTGGGGAGAGAATAACTGCTGCCCAAATTCATATCAGTGGGCCAAAGCTGATCCACAGCTGGAATGCCACAGGTCCAGGTTGGTTTGTAGAAAGCCACTTGCTGGGATGCTAATGGCCTCCTGATGATGAACAGAAAGTTGACTGCTAGAGTGTTATGAGCCAGAGCAGGTGTGCTAGACACTAGTTATAGGAATGTTGTGGTTCAGAGATGTACTCAGAAAGCCTCCTGGTAAAGTAAACTGGAGAAACTTCTGAAGGATGATCAACAATGGATCTTCTGCAGAACTTCTAGAAGCCATGCCAGACACAAAAGAAAAAAAAGTCACACCCCAACCTGAAAGATAAGCCCTTTTTTATGCCGTGTCATTCAGTGCCCCTCCAGTATATTAACAAAGAACCAGCTGGCAAAGTTCCACATCTAGTTTTGCAAAGACTGGTGGATTTGGATTTGGTAGGCTATTAATCTAAAACTGGCATTTTATGAAAAGTTCTTATATATACATATAAGAAAATTGTGAACACTCTAATTGAAAAACGGCAGAGTACTTGTATAGAAAATTCACAGAAAAATAAATGGCTAGCCAATGTTAGAAGCATAGTCAAATTCAATATCAGTATATTTTCTAGATTGAAATTATTGTGAATGTATGTTGTTTCTTAAGGTCTACTTGCCTGGTGTTGTATGTGCTCTCAGTAGTCTTATTCTTCATTTACTTAAGTTATATTGCTCATTTGGACTTCTTTCTAGGGCGTGCCCTTCTCTAGGAAGTGCAAAAGGGAAAAGCAGATTGGAAATGAAGAAATAAAGCTATCAGCATTCCTAGGCAAAATGATTCTTTATGCAGATAATTCCAATTTGTCTGTACAAAAACTAATAGAAGTACTAAGTGAGTTTACTGTGGCCACAGAATAAAAAGCCAGTAAACACAAGTTCTTTACACCTCTACATACTAGCAGTGAGCAATTGGAAATTAGGAATGTCTTAGAGCTAGTGTTGTAGCTTAGTGGTAGAGAGCTTGCCTAGCATGTATGAGATCCTGAATTTAATCCCTTGCACACCCCCTTCAGATTAAGGTACCATTTCAAGTAGCATCCCCCCCAATTTTTTTAAATACATAGGGACATAACTAGCAAAGTTTTAACAAGGTTTACTGAAAACTAAAATATTGAAAGAAATCAAAGTGTTAAATAATTGGAGATAGAAACCATGTACATGGAAAGGAAGACAGTGTTGTTAAAATAAAATGTCAAGTTGCCACAAATTCAACACAGTCTCAGTCAAAATCCCAGCAGGTTGGGCACATTTTAACTCACTGGTAAATTCAGCTGCTGCTGTTATCATTGTTATTTACTAGAATTAGCCTATGGTGGAGCTTGCTGCATTTGATACAGTGAGTTGCTTGTCATTTGAAATGTTCAAATAGAGATCAGTAAGACCTTATGCTAAGGGTGCTATATAGGAAATTACAGCATTAGATAGGAAATTGGATTAGATGATCTGTTTCAACTTTTCTAATGAAAAATCTTATGAATGTATTATTTATAGGTCAGTGATTTACATCTTTGGGGAAAGAGAGATACTATCATTCAGGGTTTTACAAGTACATATATGTTTTCTATAATAATCCTAAAACATTTCATGTAATAAAGGATGTTACTAATATGAATGTGTTACATGAGTGATTTAAGGCCTCTAATGACATTTGTTATACTTTTTGTTGTTGTTGTAGTTCATCAGGCTGACTAAGAAGGAAGATAATGTCAATCTTTTAAACTCTGAATTTTAATTATGGCTCTTCCAAAGTAGTATAAATCTCAGAGAAATATACTTTAATATTCATTTTAAGACAGCTTATGATATTCATATTTTCAGTTGCCTAGCATGTATGAGATCCTGAATTTAGTCAACCTAGTAAATATTTCTCAGTATATATCTCAGAAATTATCATTATAAGTTAATTATTTTACCAGAAAGTTAATTTTTAAAGATATTGTATTCTTAACATGTATTTTAAATATATATTGGTTATATGCTTTTATAACAATATAAGAGAACTTTAAATAATAAGTAAATAACCCATGGATTCTGGGATTTAAAAAATTGGCTGAAATATGACTAGTTACCTATTTTTACTTTCTTAATTTCAATAATACCTTGATTGAAATATGAATAACTTTTATTTTCATTAATTTCTTAATTTCCTTTCTATTTTAAAGCCCAACCTGAGTTCCTGAAACAGCCTGCTAATATATATGCTCATGAATCCATGGATATTGTATTTGAATGTGAAGTGACTGGGAAACCAACTCCAACTGTGAAGTGGGTCAAGAATGGGGATATGGTTATCCCAAGTGATTACTTTAAAATTGTAGTAAGTATTTTTTCAAAGAAGTCCATTTATTTCTGAAAACACTATTTTTAAATTTAATCACAAGAAATGTTATCTTATATATATACCAGTGTATATATTGCAAACAAAGAAAAAATGGAAAACTCATAGCAAAATTTGCATAGAATGTAATTTCTTCATTGGCTGATGAGAAAGCTTATCACAATGTATTTTCACAGCTTATGTGAGGTCAGATCAGCAAATCAGTGACTGAACTAAAAACTTTTAAGAGTCTACCAACAGTCTGGTGTTCTTACATAGCTGCCGCCATTTCCTGGAGAATAATTTGTGTGTGTGTGTGTTGTGTTGTGTTCCCAGTTGTCTTGACAACTTTTTATACACAGAGTGGAAATCTGTCCCTTAAAGTGTGGAAAGATGATTCCTTTGAAAAAATATCAGTAATTATATATAGACTACAAAAACTTAACCAAAAGTCATATACTGATGCCAAACCCTTCAAAATTAAGATGACCTAATGTCAGATAATTATGTGACAGTAGGAAAGATTCTTTAAAAAAGTAAGTACATTATCACATGATACCCCATAAATATGCACATTTTTATGTATCAGTTAAAAATTTTAAGTGCTAAATATATTAAGAATCTTAAGCCATAATTGCTTTTTACTTTATATATGTATATATATGAACTGCTTAGTAGACATTATCTAGTAATAATACATCATCATTAGCTAACATTATAATAAAAAAATTATCCAAGTTTAAGTAATAATAAATATTAATGTTATACCTTAAGATTTATACATGACATTCATAAGAAATATCAGAAGTAATTATAGTTGTTAAAGATTTAATAGCTTGTTATAAATTTGTCATAGAAGTAATTCATTCTTTTTGCGGGGGTTACCAGGGATTAAACTCAGGGTCACTCGACCACTAAGCCCTATTCTGTATTTTATTTAGACACAGAGTCTCACTGAGTTCCTAGCACCTTGCTTTTGCTGAGGCTGGCTTTGAACTGGTGATCCTCTTGCCTCAGTCTCCTGAGCCACTGGGATTACAGACATGTGCCACTGCGCCAAGCAGTAATTCATTCTTTTTTTAAAAATATTTTTTAGCTACACATAGACCCAATATCTTGGGTCTTTTTTATTTTTATTTTTATATGATGCTGAGGATCGAACCCAGTGCCTCACATGTGTAAGGCAAGCGCTCTACCCGTGAGCCACAACCCCAGCCACAGTAATTCATTCTTAAAGAGAAAGTATTTTCTACTTTTGAAATTCATGTCATGTTACAAAAAGTAATTCATAAGTATTTAACATTAAAATACAACCTGAATTAGCATTTTTTATTTTATCAGTATTTGCACATTATTGTAGATATTTTAATACCATTTTTATAGGGCTGGGGTTGTGGCTCAGTGGTAGAGTACTCGTCTAGCACATGTGAAGCACTGAGTTTGATCCTCAGCACCACATAAAAATAAAAATAAAAAAATAATAAATTAAAATATAATAAATAATAAATAAAATTAAGGTATTGTGTGTGTGTGTGTGTGTGTATATATATATATATATACACACACACACACACACACCCATACACATACACATACCACATTTAGTATGCAAGTAGCAATAGTTGACATTCATGCAGTGCTTTGTAGTTTAAGGAAAGCTCATATGTTTACAGTTTCATTTAATTTATGGTAGTCTAATCTGTTAAACTATTGAAATTACAGATAATTTTAGAAAAATAATACCTTAAATTCACTAATTGAGACTTTATCCATAGTCACATTGTATTGTTTGCCAGGTATTTTTCCAAAGAAAGATGTAAGTTTGCAAACACTGAGGATAAAACTTTCTGTAGGTGTTAGGTTCTTCACTGTAAATGACAGTATGTACTGCTGTAGTCAGTTAAGTCAGTACCTTGCTGATACTTTAATATAAAATCAAGTTAACACATAATTAGGTAGGTAATATTAAATAATTGAATCATAATATTTTATTTGTCTTTCTTCCTGAAAAGAATATATCCTTCAAATTTTGAACTCATTTTTCAATTAAATTATAAAATTTTACATGTGTTTTTCTTTCTTAGAAGGAACATAATCTTCAAGTTTTGGGTCTGGTGAAATCAGATGAAGGGTTCTATCAATGCATTGCTGAGAATGATGTTGGAAATGCACAAGCTGGAGCTCAACTGATAATCCTTGAACATGGTAAGAGGGGCTGAAATAGACAAAGGAGGCTAACTATGTGTTTGAAGAACCACATTTCAGGATATCACATTGTCAGCCTATTTGTAAAGGTCAATATATGGCATAACTAAGAGAAAAAGAATGGCAATTTAAATCATTTCTGTCATTTAAAATTACATAGAATTACAATGTCAGATAATGTTGAAAAGAAACTGGTATTAAGAAAAACTGAACCAGGTGTAGTCTTATATAAATTAATATTTTTTTAGAATTCTGTCATTTTAATCTTGCAAATATATTTCTGCCTTGTAAAGATTAAAAACTTCTTATACCGTTTATTTTGCATTGAAATTTTCTTCACTTTTTGCAAAATAAAATTAGCATGCCTTTTTTATTATTACCAAAAGCACATATGGGTGTTATACAACATTCAGTCAACACTGAAAAGTATAAAGAATCCCCCCTTCCCCTTTACTAGTCAATGTAAAATCAGGGAGAACACTATAATTAGAGCAGGGAAAGCTTAATGTAAAGAATTATTAGTTAGCTGGGTAGTGCATGCCTGTAATCCCAGGGTTAGGGGGGCTGAGGCAGGAAGATTGTGTGTGAGTTAAAAGCCAGCCTTAGCAATTTAGCGAGGCCCTAAGCAACTGAGCGAGACTCTGTCTCTTAATATAATATAAAAAAGGGTTGGGGATATTGCTCAATGGTTAAGTGCCCCTGGGTTCAATCCCTGGTACCGGAAAAAAAAAAAAAAATATATATATATATATATATATATATATATATATATATAAATAAAATAGATACCAGTTAATTATATATAGACTACAAAAAACTTAACCAAAAGTCATATTCTGTTATATAATTATTTTCTCATATTAAATTACTGAAAGTTAAATTATTGGATTAAAACAGTTCTGCATCAAATTGGTAAGGGAGACCATCAGGTACATTATTTATTTATCTATCTTTAACAACTAAATTATTTTTCTTTTTGAGCATTTCTCAAAAATTAATGAAAAAGATACCACTTTTAAATGTCTTTTATCCAAGTCAAATATGGTCAGGTACTAATGTGGTTCCAGGAAGAATTTCTGTGACAACTGTAGCCTGATGAGGGAAGCTAATTGGCAAAAATGACACCTACTATGACATCTCTTTAAAATAGCATATAGGATTTTTATGTGCTTGCTTTTGAAAATATAGGTGGAGTACTGTTATAAAAGACATAAAATATTAGAATTGCTTTTTTCTTTCTATGTTTGTTTGTGATCATTACTCTTCCTCATTCATTGGAAATGGTTTAAGAACCATGTCACTTTCCCATCTTAGCAGAATGCCTGAGAACAATTACCAAATAAGATACTAGCAGAATCCGTGAGGTAGATGGGCTTATTTTTTTTTTTACTAATGGCAGTGACTTTTTTCTTTGTAAACTTTCTGGCTATCTTGAGGTATATTTACATGGAATTAAGTAAAAGAACTTGAGCATACTTATGATTACCATTATAAATCTAACTCTAACAATGTAGATGATTGATGATGCTAGGAAGTCCCTAAATTAATCCTAATTGGGGTCTTCTCATCTTGGATGGTATAATAATTATAGTCATAGTGTGTGTGCTTTTTTTTCTTTTTGAGAACAATGTTTTATGGACTGCTGAAAATTTTTAGTGACCTTATCAGGAACTCAGGGATGTATTCATGATACATAGATAAGAAAGAAGAGAAGGATCATGTTATTAGTTTTGTTTTTTATTTTGCTGTTTTGTGTGTGTGGGGGGGGTTTACTTATTTATTTTTGAGGCAGGGTCTCACTTATAGTTCTGGAACTATAGGCACACATTACTGTGCCTGTCCTTTTTACTGCTTTGTTTTAATTTGCAAGATAAATGTTTATATGGGAAGGCTAAAAGAGGGACTGTAACAACAAAGATCTGATCTCTGCCTTTCCGGAATTTATATTATGGTGAAGAATGTAAAGAGGTATATTACAACTTTAATACCAGTCCAGATTAGGTTTATTTTATGTTTTATGGTACAAATAAAGCCACTACAATTCAGAAGAGAAGAATTCTGTGTGATCAGGGAATGTTTTTCGAGTTAGATGTCCCCTTTGTAATAGGACTTGAATGTTCAGATTTCCAATTGTTGATTTAAAAGATGATCTGAATCAGCATGGAACTAGAACAGAGTACCTGTTTTTGAAAAAAGGTGGCCTATAGAGGCAGAAGAGGATCACAATGCTTTCGTAAGTTAGGTTTAATTAGAATGCAGGCTGGTTCAAAGAATGTTGTTATGAGACAATAGTGAGATGATAATAAGTACATGTACTAAACAAATGAATAAAGAGGGTTCTAATAAACAAACACTAATGGTTTCTCTGAGTCAGATTATCAACTGATTGGATATTAAACATTGTTGTAGAGAAGTCAGAGATACTTCCAAGGTTTTATCTGGATGAGTGGAAGAATGATGATGCCTTTCAAATACAGAAAAGGAAGGTGAACTGAAGTGGAAGGGGCTCTCTACTTCTACTCAGGATGTAGAATATACAGAGAACTTTTCCTTTTCACTGCAAGAAAAACTTAATAAGCTACAAAATCATAACTTCTCTCTTTTCAGAGAGGTGAGCTTGCAATGCAACCTAGTAACAAATTCTAAAAAAGGAAAAATGAAAAAGAATGTAGTTATTTGAATTATTTTACCTTTGGCATAGCACAAAATAAAGAAATGGCTACCAGGAAAGTTGGCAAGAAGAAAACTTAAAAAAATTTAACTAATTTTTCAAGGCCAATTATGGGCTAGTTCCAAGGGTTCCACATTACAAAAGGGGTTCACATTTGCTTGCAGATAGTTTTCCCTTGGGCTCCACAGAGTACTCCCAATTAAGAGAGGGGGCAAAGCAGGAAACTTCAGAAAATTATCTCTGTGGTCTAGGAATGAAGGAGGTGTTTGCCTGTTGGAAGACAGACACAGAGATCCTCCCATGTAAAACCTCTTTATTTCATAAGTTTTTGGAGAGAGAGTAGAAGTCAAACCTCTCTGCTATTGTGGGGAGAAACTCTGGAGATACAGGATAAAGGCAAAAGCTCATTGCTGCTAGGAAAAGAAGAGAAAACACTTTACCTCTGAAAGAGGTACAGAAAATCACTTTAGGCCTCAGCATCCTGTGCCTATATAAAAAAGAAGAGGTCTTCTACTACGGGGGGAAGAGTCAGAAACTCCCACCTAGGATCAACATAAATGCAAAGCAGACTTGGGCTGCCATAGGAAAAAGAACCCTAAGACCTACCTGAGATTGAGGCTGAACCCAACAGTAAGCATAGCAGTCTATCAGTAGAAGAATTTGAAATCTTTACTGTAGGTAACTGTAATAACAGTAAAATCTCACACCAAGTTCAGTTCCTGACTAGATTGTCTAAACTCTACCACACTAATAGTTTAACAAAAGAATAAGTCTGCCAATATCTAAGTAAATAATACTTGCTGCTGTTCTGCACACCACATACTTCATTCAGTCAAAAATTAGTCTCAAAAAAAAAGCAAAGGCTCATTAGAGATATTGGTCTGAAGTTTTCTTTTTTTGATGTGTCTTTGCCTGGTTTTGGAATCAGGGTGGTATTGGCCTCATAGAATGAGTTTGGAAGAGCTGCCTTTTTTTTCTATTTCCTGAAATAAATTGAGGAGTATTGGTATTAGTTCTTCTTTCAAGGTTTTGTAGAACTCGGCTATGTATCCATCCGGTCCTGGGCTTTTCTTGGTTCGTAGGCTTCTGATGGTGTCTTCTATTTCATTGCTTGAAATTGATCCGTTTAACTTGTGTATCTCATCCTGATTCGATTTGGGCAAATCATATGACTCTAGAAATTTGTTGATGCTTTCGATATTTTCTATTTTATTGGAGTACAAATTTTCAAAACAATTTCTAATTTCTTCTATATTTCTGCAGTGTCTGTTGTGATATTTCCTTTTCCATCATGTACGTTAGTAATTTGAGTTTTCTCTCTTTCTCTTCGTTAGCATGGCTAAGGGTCTATCAACTTTATTTTTTCAAAGAACCAACTTTTTGTTCTATCAGTTTTTTCAATTGTTTTTTTTTTGTTTGTTTGTTTGTTTGTTTCAATTTCATTGATTTCAGCTCTGAGTTTAATTACTTCCTGTCTTCTGCTTTTGGTGTAGATTTGTTCTTTTTCTAGGGCTTTGAGATGTAATGTTAAGTCATTTATTTATTGACTTTTTCTTGTTTTAATTCATGGCATGGATGCAATGAACTTTCCTCTTAGAACTGCCTTCATAGGGTCCCAGAGATTTCAATATGTTGTACTTGTGTTCTCATTCACCTCTAAAAATTTTTTAATGTCCTCCTTGATGTCTTCTGCAACCCATTGTTCATTCAGTAGCATAGTATTTAGTCTCCAGGTGTTGGAGTAGCTTTATTTCTTATTTTATCATTGATTTTTTTTTTAAAAAGGCAAAGATAAAAAGCTTACTTGTTATTGAGAAATAAAGCAATTAACAGAATCAAACTCAGATTTTGTGTCATCTGTATATAAAGGCAATAGAAAGATATTCATAGAAAATATACTATGCACATGATATTTCTTACATACCTTTCTTTTAAAAATTACTCATAGCGGGCTGGGGTTGTAGCTCAGTGGTAGAGCTCTTGTCTCACATGCATGAGGCACTGTGTTTGATCCTCAGCACCATATAAAAATAAGGGTATTGTGTCCATCTACAACTAAAAAAAATATTTTAAAAAAGTTACTCAGAGATGTGCTTTGACAGATTGTACAATGAATCAAGCCAGGCTCTGGTGGTGCCTGCCTAAAATCCTAGCAGCTCGGGAGGCCGAGACAGGAGGATCTCAAGTTCAAAGCCAGCCTCAGCAACTTTGCAAGACTGTCTCAAAATGAAAAATGAAAAGGACTGGGATATGGCTCAGTGGTTAAGTACCTCTGGGTTCAATTCCTGGTACCTAAAATGAATCAAAACAAAGTAAAAAACAAAACAAT